GGGGGGCCGGGGCCGTGTGCTGGCCCATGGCAGAGGGAGGAGGAAGGCAGCAGCATAGCAGGGGCCATGGTGCAGGCAGCTGGACCAGCGATGTCAGGGAGGCTGCGTGCACGGGGAGGGAGCGGCATGGCACACGCAAGGGGAGAGGCAGCGGGCAGGCAGGGGTTGGGCAGCGTGTGGCCCCCAAGGGGAAGGGGGGCACCCAAACGCACCTGCCCCACTGCTCCCCCCGCAAGTGCCAGGAGAGGTGCTGAGTGCTGCAGAGCTGTGCCCCCCACCTGCAGCATGAGGGGGACACGGCCCAGGCTCTCCCAGCAGAGCCCAGTGTCCCACGGAGCATCACCAGCCTCCAGCCGGTCCAGCCCAACGGGGGGAAGGCGGGGGGTCTCACTCCTGCGCCAGGCACGTGCTCCCCTGCTCCAGGGGCAGCGGGGATTTCTGCCAGGAGCCAGATGCCGGTGGGTCCTCTCCCCAGTGCAGGCAGAGAGAGCCGCCACCAGCGCTGCTGCAGTACGTGCCTGCCCGCGGTGCCACAGGACAGCGTGTCAGCTGTTTCCAGGGCAGACGGAGCCAGAAGCCAGAGCCGATTCCCAGCAGCAAGGTCACCCCGCGCCATCCCCGCTGGCAGCGGGAGCAGCGTGGCGGGAGCCATGGCGGTGCAGCACGGGTTCAATAGGCCTGCGGAAAGACTCGCGGACCTCTGCGGAGCCACGGCCAAGCGGGCGCCCATGGCCTCGTGCCGGTGCTCCCTCCAGCAGGACGCCCGGGACGGGCGCTCCCAGCAAAGCGAGGGGCCACGGCAGAGCCGGGGGCAGCACCCACCCGTGTCCCCCACCCCTCCGCCTGCCCCCGCACCGTGGCTCGGGGGTGCAGCAGGCACAGGGCAGAGGCCGGGCAGAGGCGAGGGATGGAGGGATGGGGAGGGTCTGCAGGGGCCGCGCTGCGGGGACAGCCCCGGGACGGTGCCCACGCAGCAGCCGTTGCCCCGTATCCCGCCGTCCCCGCGGGTCGTGCAGCCCCCG